CAGGAATAGTTACTCTGCACAAGTATTCTTAGTAACTTCCAATTATACTAATGTGATTGGAGCTTATGTCAGTAAGATGCATCTGCTTCTAGGTTTTTTTTTTTTTTTGCTTTTTTAAGAAAAAATTGACACGTAGATATAGTAAGTCTGTGTATTATCAATGGAGTTTTAATTTTGAAGTCTGCAGTGCTTACCAGCCAGTTCTGGACGGTGAGAGGAGACTGGCAGGTTTGGGCACTTGCTATCAAGTACATGTTTTTTGTCACTGTCGATGGCTTACAGAGTTTTAGATTTTAAGTAGATGCTTCCAGAAAAAGTAGCTATTTAAGTTTTTATTTGCTTCTAACTAGTCTACTACAAATATTGAAATAGAAATATGTGGGTATCAAGGAGGGTGTTTGAAAGTTACTTTTTTTTTTGTTTTGCCATGGGCATATGCGCTCCCCAGGAAGAGACAGACAGGGAAAATGCATCCACTGATGGGGTGCAGTCAGCTGCAGTCTCTTCTCCTCTATTTCTCCATCACCGCCGTATTCAGGGCATCTTGCATGTTCCTCTATGCACCAGGACCAGGACTCGAACTGTGGTAGGCCATGTAGGACCTGGCTTCCCAACCCACCAAGCTGTCTGGCTGGTCCTGAAAGTTAGACTTTTAAGAGCAGTTGGAGCTCAGATAGAATACGTAGTGGCTGCCCTCCCACGGCCCCAGCCCCACTTTCTACTTTCATCTGCTGTGGAATGTTGGCTTTCGGGACAGGAACACCGTTCATGACAACATCCATTGATCTGTGTCCAGGGCAATAATTGCTCTGAACTCGGAGGCGGCAGGGTTGTCCTGTACCCGGAAATGTTGTGCCAGTGTCAGGTCACAGCTTCTTCGTGGCCAGTTTGTGAGTCACACTGACGCTGGTGACAGTGAGGTCAAGATTAGGAGCAGGTAGCTTGGCTCTGTGACCCCACCACAGACTGCCTTGTGAATGCAGCTGGCTCTCAGAGGGACGTGCTGCAGCCACAAGAGTCCCAACCCTGGACTGCCGACTACGTGGCACCTGTGGATCCATCAGAGCTACCTGGACCAGGAGAGGCAGGGCAAGGGGAGTCTGTGTGGACAATCTGTATGGATTTAGTACACAGTAATCCTTTAAAAAATTTATTTTTATTTTTATTTCTTCCACCAGAGAGAGAGAGAGAGAGACAGAGGGGCTAGCATCCCAGTGGGGTCTTCATATCGCTGTCTACCCGCGTTAGCTAGCCAGGATCACAGGTACAAACTCCTCTATCCCTCCTACTCAGGGAGGTCCTGGGACACAAAACCAGGCCCCTTCCCACGTGGGTCTAGAGGCAGTGGGAGCTCAGATAGAATACGTAGTGGCTGCCCTCCCACGGCCCCAGCCCCACTTTCTACTTTCATCTGCTGTGGAATGTTGGCTTTCGGGACAGGAACACCGTTCATGACAACATCCATTGATCTGTGTCCAGGGCAATAATTGCTCTGAACTCGGAGGCGGCAGGGGTGTCCTGTACCCGGAAATGTTGTGCCAGTGTCAGGTCACAGCTTCTTCGTGGCCAGTTTGTGAGTCACACTGACGCTGGTGACAGTGAGGTCAAGATTAGGAGCAGGTAGCTTGGCTCTGTGACCCCACCACAGACTGCCTTGTGAATGCAGCTGGCTCTCAGAGGGACGTGCTGCAGCCACAAGAGTCCCAACCCTGGACTGCCGACTACGTGGCACCTGTGGATCCATCAGAGCTACCTGGACCAGGAGAGGCAGGGCAAGGGGAGTCTGTGTGGACAATCTGTATGGATTTAGTACACAGTAATCCTTTAAAAAATTTATTTTTATTTTTATTTCTTCCACCAGAGAGAGAGAGAGAGAGAGACAGAGGGGCTAGCATCCCAGTGGGGTCTTCATATCGCTGTCTACCCGCGTTAGCTAGCCAGGATCACAGGTACAAACTCCTCTATCCCTCCTACTCAGGGAGGTCCTGGGACACAAAACCAGGCCCCTTCCCACGTGGGTCTAGAGGCATGACTACTGGGCCATTGTCTAGCTTCTCTTTATTCTCATTCTTAATCTAGTCTTGTGTGGATTTTTCAAGGAAGCAGAGGAGTTCTAAACCCAATTCCCCTCAAGTCAGAAATGCCCCTGCCAGTCTCTGGGGAAGGTGCTTGCTAGAGACCACCCCACAGTCACTCAGGGTGTCCTCACAGGTATTCCTCCAGCGAGAGAACAGATTGTGGCTTCATTCGTGTCAGGTCTGTGACTTCGGGCAGCAGTGGCACACTCGATGTGGTAAGACCCCACACACGAGGAGGAACTGCCAGCCCTGAGCCCAAGGAGGCGCCACAGCCTCGCATCCCCCATGGCACGCACACTTCAGGGGACCTTGGGACTTGGCATCTTTTTCCCCCTACTACTTTGTTACCTTCTTCCCCTCACCCTCCTTGCCAAACTCACTTTGTTTAATCTTGAGAAATGAATTCTACACACGCTTTCTTTCACTATGCCTATTTTTATTTATTAAGCTAAGAAATTGCCAAGCCCTCACATACGCCAGGGATCCCATAGGTACTGGGGATGTCGTAGTACAAAGGATGGTACTGTCCCTCCTGGCCCTCGTACCGGATATACGTATACGTATTTCCCTCCCAGGTAACTTCCCAAAAAGAGCCTCTTAGCTGGCCAAGGAAGCACTGCTCGGAGAAAGCACCTTAGCTGGAAGCAAACTTTCAGTGCTCTCTTTAGAAGCTTATCTTTGGTGTCATCTGTCCGACGCGGCAAAAACGCTGAACACAGATATCATGAAGGAGTTATTTATCGTTTATTATTTATTTATTTCTCCAGAGAGAAGCGCCCCTCTTCTAAGTGAGTGTTTTAAAAAAAGATCACTCGGAAAAGCAGAACAGCAAGCACTTTGTAGACATGAGTTGTACTTAGCAGAGACGTGAAGAAAGCCCATGTGCCGTAAGGCAATGTGCGGTAAAGCATTATCTCATACAAAATTCAAAATCGGCATCGTAGTCAGCTGGGACATTCCACGAAGATGATCACTGAAGAGGAGATCTAATGACAGAAAGATGCTGTCAGGAAACGGAGAGGCCAGAAGCCATCATCCTAAATTAGCATATCATTATTTTTTAATTATTTAATTTATTCATTCATTCATTTATTTTTTAACTTGACCAGAGAGACACACGGGGGTGGGGAGGAATGAGAAAGCAAGCCACTAGGTCCAGGACTTGAACCGTGGTCAGCCATGTGGGAGTGTCCAGCACCTTAACCACCACGCCACCTGCTGGTCCCTAAATTAGCATATTATTTTAAATGATAGGTAACGTCAGAAGTATTTGTAGGGAACTGAATTCACACAACGAATTCTATGCTGGTGCCATAGTGGTGAACGTGGCTGGATCTCACATGGCCAGTCCTGGACCTGGTGACTTGAGAAACACATCTGCCATGTGTTGGTGCCCAAAATTCCAAGAGGAGAATGGAGGAGAAGGGCTTCTGGCTTGGCCATCCTCCCTGGAGTGGGGGTGATTCCTCACTTTCCCTGTTTTCCACTCTCTGCCTTTGGTGGCAAGCACACACACACCCTAGCAAAAAATTTTTAGAACATTCACGCAGTGAATATTAAAATAGATGCTGGATTATATCCACCCTAGATCCAGGGTGGCCACAGGCATTTCTCTCAGGTTGTTAGAAAAATGCAGAGTGGGTCTAACTTCCAGGTTCCCCTGCACTGGCAGAGGGTTGGACATTAGAGGGGACCTGATTCTGGGAAGAGGAATGAAGCCGGAAGTACTGAGCTGCTGCCCAGTGGAGGGGGAGAAGGGGACTTTGCAAGGAGAAGAGAATGGGCTCCAAACAGCCTGAGACTTCAGGGCAGGCTCGTCGCTGAAGGGACGTTTTACCCTAAACTCAAAGGGCACTTAGGAGTTCGCCAGGTCGAGATGGGGAGTGGTGTTGGAGAGAGAGCATATTTACCAAGTCCTGGGCAAGCCACTCTGGCACTTTGGGACAACTAAATGTTTGCAGGAGGGTTCTGCGGGCTGACAGGTGAGCACAGGTACAGGTCAGGGGAGTCACCAGGGCCAGATCAAAGAGGATCTGGAGCCGTGCCTTGCTAAGCTCGGATTTAATGCTAAGGACAGGCAGTGACTCCCTGGAGGGGGTTCAGTAGGAGAGTGAGACCCTCGCATAATCGTGAGCTGTCCCTTTACCCTTATCCTCAGGGTAAAGAAAGGGTGGAGAGCCCCATGGCCAATGGAGGGGCTCGGTGTGACCCAGTGTGACGTCACTCTTGCCCCACTGCAGGTGTGGACACTGCCAGCGGCTGCAGCCGACTTGGAATGACCTGGGAGACAAGTACAACAGCATGGAGGATGCCAAGGTCTACGTGGCTAAAGTGGACTGCACAGCCGACTCCGATGTGTGCTCTGCCCAGGGGGTGCGAGGATACCCCACGTAAGTGGGCGGGAAGGTGCCCGCTTCCCAGGTGGCCCTGGGGTTCCACGCCGGTTTGCCGGCTATGACCAGCCAGAGGGTCCCAGGTTACACTTTGATAACTTTTTCTGGAGTTCTGGGGAGGGAACAGACGCCACATTTAAGAAGGCAGTCCCAGGACCAGCAGATGGGGTAACGGTTACGTCGCTGGACTCCCATGTAGTCAACCATAGTTCGAGTTCCGGAGCCAGCACTTAAAACTCACACTGGGTACATGTGCACGTGTGCCCAAGATCCCAAGAGGAAAATGGAGGAGAAGGGACTGTGGCTTGGCCATCCCCCCTAGGGGGTGATTTCTCACTTTCTGTCTCTTTCTCTCCGGCAAGCACACGCCCTATAGCAAAAATACCTCTTAAAAAAAAAGGCAGTCCTTGTTATTAGGGGACATTTCTATTTCCGCTGCCTCTGCTGTAGATGTCACCTGTGCTTTGTTTGAGAAAAGCCTTTCATTAATTGGCACTGGGGTTTCCTGCTTGCAAGAAAATGTGTTTGCAAGACAGTGATGGGGGTTCTCTGTGAGAACCTGCCAGTACATTTGCCACTGTGCACAGGTTCGCCATCTTTCTTGGTATGAAGTTCTTGATTACTTCAATTTATTAGTGATTGTTTAAACTTTATTGTGTATGTCTTCATGAGAGAGGAGGGAGGAAGAGGCAGGCACCCTGTACAGGATCCTCACGCCACAGCCCGCCCCGAGCCAGCCCCAGTCTTGAGCTTTCACACACATTTCCTGCGTGTATAGAGAAGCCCTGGGACACGAACCCAGGGACACATATCTGAGGCCTTCCTGAGTGGGTCCAGTTGCATTACTGCTGCAGCACCATCTGGCCCACTCAGGTATTTCCAAATACCCATTTTTTAGAGCAGTTTCTCCTGTGGCTGGCACAGTGGCCGCTTCTATTGGAAAGAAAGTGGTTAACTGGAATACAGCAGACTGACTAGCTACACTACTTTTATTTATTTAATTCCTCTTGATTATTTTTTAATTTGACCAGAAAGAGACAGAGAAGGGGAGATCAAGATAGCAAGCTGCCAGGTCCAGGACTCAAACTACAGTCAGTCATGTGGAAATCCAGTGCCTTTAACCACCGCGCCACCTGCCGGCCCCCAGTGATACTTAGACCCTCGACAGTCACTAGTGGTTTTGATTATGTGAAACAGATTGAAACTACCTTATTAAGCGAAAGGGGGGATTAATACGAAGGCTGTAGGGGAAGCTCTGAGACCCAGCTGCAGGGACCTGGGGGCCTGTCTCTGCTGGGGCTCCTTTCCAGCTCTGCATCTCTGTTCCCTGGAAGGACTTAGGCCGGCACTGGCTGGCTCATCCCAGGAATAGTCCTTAGGGCCGGAAAGGCGGGATCTCGTAGAAGACAGTGTCCCCTCTTCAGGCCGGGTGGTGAATGTTGGAGGGAAAAGCAATTCTCCAAGAAAAGGAAGATGCTGTTTCCTGGGGAGCAGGGAGAGATCGGTCCCTGCAGCCCCCTACCTGTTTATTCCCATTAAGGAATGAAGTCAGCTTCTTGAATTTCCATAAAACGTGTTAGTTTTGGGAGAGGGGCACACATTAAGTCTAAAACTGGAGAGTGTTCAAACCTGAGACACAGAGTGGGGAATGAAGGGCACCCTGAGTTTGCACCTCAAAGCCGCAGTGGAGTCCTGGCACCGCCATTCACTGGCCCCCTGCCTGTGGTCACAGCACTCGCCCTCTGTGTCTTCAGTAGGGGGATCCCCAGCCTGTGGCATCGTCATGGGAGTCACATGGACCACTGCGTGTGCAGACGTCGATCTGAGCATTCCCGGCACGTGTCAGCGTTTCCCCTGGCATTTGAAATTTGGCGTTTCCATAAAGCACTCTGGACCGCTTGGTCTTGAGTGGCTGCTTGCTAATCTTAGTAGCGTGTTTTGAGTCTCCAGCAAATCGGATTACTAGGGATAAAAGCAAAGTACCGCCCAGCTGGGTGGCTGAAGACCGCAGGAATACACTACCCTGCCGTCCTGGAGGCTGGCGGTCTGGGGTCAGGGAGTCCCCAGGGCCGAGCTCCCTCCGAATCCATTAGGGGGATCGTCTTGGCTCTTCTGGCTTCTGGTGGGTTGCTGACACTCCCTGGCAATTCTTGCTTCGAGGCGCACTGCTCCAACCCTCTACCTCCCCCAGGCCTTCTCCTCACTTACTGCATCCGAATTCACCCTTCTTTATAGAGGACGCCAGCTCTTTTTTCTTTTTCCAAAGGGTGGATGCACTCAATAGAGAGAGTAAAATACCCCCTACCCCCGAGGGGATGGCCACTCCGTAATCCCTTGTCTTCCATTTTTCTCTCAGGATTCTGGGCAATGCACATACAGGCACCTGGTGTGTCTTTCAAGCTGCCAGGTCTGGGATTCGTACCCACGGACTTGGCTATGTGGGATCCAGTGCCACAACTACCACACCACCTGCTGGCCCTCACAGCCCTCTTTAATTACCTCAGTTTTACTTAATGCTCTCTGTAAAGATCCTGTGTCTAAATGAGGTCCCATTCTGAGGTTGGGGGTGCTTGAGCAGGTCTGCTCTGGGGGGCTCACTTCAGCCCGTAACACCATGTGCAGTGGTAGAACTTCCATCATGCTCTTTTCCAGAGTGACTCTTAAGGGGGTTTTCTCACCTGCTGCTGCTTCCTTGAAACTGAAACAAATCGCCAAGACACACAGATGTCCACGTGGAGGTTTGATAGTGTCAGGAACGTTTGGGCTGTACTTGGGGCTCGTACCCCGTGGCCTAGTCTCCATCACTTTCTTCACCTCCATCAACAGTGAGAAGTGGGTTCTGATTTCCCAGGCCGTCTCAGAGGTCTCGCAGAAGCCCCAGCTCCAATCCCTGGGCTCTTTGAACTTACTAAGGGCGGTTTGGAAAGATTTCCAGTCCAGTAAGAAGAGAGGTTTTTTGTTTTGTTTTGTTTTGTTTTGTTTTTTTGTTTTTTGTTAGTGCTTGTGCTTGCTGGAAAGACAGAGAGACGTAAAGACAGAAAGCGAGAAATCACCCCTCCCAGGGAGGATGGCCACACCGCAATCCCTTCTCTTCCACTCTCCTCTCAGGATCTTGGGCACGCACGCACACATGCCTGGCATTGAAGCCCTGGGCCTTGACCCGCGGTCAACTAGGTGGGAGTCCAGCAACGTAGCCATTATGCTAACTGCTGGTCCCAGAAGAGAGTTTTTTAAAAAGTGTTTCTTTTTTATTTTATGTAGTGCCTACCAAGTTAGAAAAGTCACCAGGTAGGTTTTACTGTATTTTAACTTTAGCAAAGGTATAGAATGAGTTCGATAACCCTTGGGTCCTTGTGATATTTTGAGGACCCACCTGTCTCCTTCCCTGAAGCTCTTCAGAGATGGGAGTGCATCGGGGAGGGAGGTGGGAGGCGGAGAAGAACAGTGAGCAACTTCCATCTCTCTGTGGGCAGAGCACAGCTCACCAGAGCGGCAGGCACCCGCCCGGCAGGTGAGGTGAGTCGAGTCATAATTGTTAGTGCGTACCTTGGGCTGGCTCGTAATGTGCGTTTCGTGACATAACAGATGTACTGGTCAAGTCTAATTAGACTCTGGCTTATTGATGTGGTTATAAAAGTATAAGTGACTGAGGAAGCTGGGCATATATACTTAATAAGGAACATTAGGGAGCTCACCTAAGCACCAGCGCACGATCTTAGGTCCTAGGTAAGACCCCATTCCCATTTTTATTTTTATTTATTTATTTATTTTTATTTATTTATTTTTTTGAAGAGTTTTTTTGCTAGAGGGTGTGTGTGTTCACCAGAAAGACAGAGAGACAGAAAGCGAGAAATCACCCCCCAGGGGGGATGGCCATGCCGCAGTCCCTTCTCCTCCATTCTCCTCTCGGGATCTTGGGCACGCACGCACATGCACCCAGCGTGAGTTTTAAGCCTCGAGGTCCGGGACTCGAACCGTGGTTGACTATATGGGAGTCCAGCGACAGAGCCATTACGCTAACTGCTGGCCCCGCCATTCCCATTTTTATTTACATGCCTAATCTAGCCAGCTTACTGTATTCTCATGCAGCTATAGGACTTCATTCCAAGGTCCTCATTTTTAGGGGTGTTACCTGTTTATCAGAGACTGAATCTTTGTATCTCTTCCCCAAATACTTATATTGAAATCTTAGCCCCCCGTGTCATGGTGTCAGGAAGTGAGGCCTGTGGGAGATGATGAGGTCGTGAGCGTGGGACCTGCACAAGTGGTATTAGCACCCTTATAGAAGGCCTCAGAGAGGTCTCCTGCCCCGTCTGCTCTGTGAGGCCACAGCAGGAGGGTGCCATCTATGAGCCGAAGTCCCTCACCGGACACTGAATCTGCTGGCATCCTGGTCTCAGAGTTCCCAACCTCGAGGACGAGGAGAGCTAAAGGCCCACTGTCCATCAACCCCCCGCCTGGTGTTCTGTTACAGCCGCCCAGACTGACATGCGCAGTAGTGATTCCTGAACGTTGGGCAAATCCTCACCAAAACCTCGTGTTAAGGACGTAAATGAGTCAGCTTGTCAACAAATGCTTGTCTATTTCTTTTCTTTTTCTTTCCTTCCTTCCTTCCTTCCTTCCTTCCTTCCTTCCTTTCTTTCTTTCTTTCTTTCTTTCTTCTTTTTTTTTTTTTTTTAAGTTTTTGCCAGAGGGCATGTGTACTTGACAGAAAAAATAAAGCACCCCCCCATGGCGTATGGTCACGCTGCAGTCCCCTCTCCTCCATTTCTTCTTTCTGCTGGGACCGTGGGCATGCATGCAGATACCCACCGTGTTACCAAGTCCCCTGGTCCAGGACTGAACTCGGTGGTCAGCTCTGTGGCATCCCCCTGCCTTCACCACCACGTCACTGGCTGGCCCTCTTTTTTATTTTGTCAGTAATCACATTTTCCTCTCCAACCTTGACATCTTTGGTTAATAATTTTATTTAGTGCATTTTTCCCCATTCCTGGCGGGATGACCCAGGGACTGAAAGGGTTGATTTTGTCCTCTGGTGATAGCATTTGATAGCTACCAAAGAAACCTTCTCTGCAGATGCCCTCAGAGGCCAGCATAGGTAGAAAAGGGGGAGGAAATTCCTTCTTTGTGGAGGAGACAATGGATTGCATCATCCAATGTCAAGGATGTTCTCCCAGAAAGACACTCAAATTCCCATGATAAATTCACTTGAAATGTGTCCAGGGTTCTCAGGACGAGAAATGTTGTAGATTTAATCTTTTTTTTGGGGGGGAGGGGCGTATTTGCATATACTTCAGGAGGTATCTTGGGACTGGGACCCAAGTCTAAATGCAAAATTAATGTGTATTTCCTATATGCCTTATACACAGAGCTCGAAGGCAGTTTTTTGTTTTTTTGTTTTTTGTTTTTTTTTTTTGAGAGGTTTTTTGCTATAGGGCGCGTGCGCTCGCCAGACAGACAGAGACAGAGAGACAGAAAGCGAGAAATCACCCCTCAGGGGGGATGGTCACGCCGCAATCCCTTCTCCTCCATTCTCCTCTCGGGATCTTGGGCACGCACGCACACACGCCTGGTGTGAGTTTTAAGCCACCGGGTCCGGGACACGAACCGCGGTCGACTCCGTGGGAGTCCAGCGACATAACCATTACGCTAACTGCTGGTTCCCTCGAAGGCAGTTTTATACAGTGCTTTATTTTGTCTGTGATGTGTGTCACATGAGGTCGAGTGAGGAATTTTCTGCCTGTGGCATCGTGTTGGCACTCAACAAGAGCCTTTTTTTTTGGAGATTTTTTTTTTTTTTTTTTTTACTGTAGGGCGTGTGCACTTGTCAGAGAGACAGAGAGACAAGAAGCGAGAAATCACCCCCTAGGGGGATGGCCACACCGCAATCCCTTCTCCTCCATTCACTCCTCAGGATCTTGGACACGCATGCACACATGCCCGGCGTAAGTTTAAGCCACCGGGTCCAGGACTCAAACCGCAGTCGACTACGTGGGAGTCCAGCAACATAGCCATTACGCTAACTGCTCATCCCGCCTTTTGTATTTTAGGTACTTCCAAAACAGAGATGGTGGCTCTGTCCTTGCCAGGGAAATACATTTATTGGAAAGCAATGCTGTATCTAAGACAATCTGAATTTACACACATATACACAGACACAGACATACACACACACCGTTGCCACATCTGGAAAGGGTAACAAAGACCTAGCAGGAAAAAGTTCTGCAAATGAGCCCTCAACGCAGGCAGCTTGGGGTTTTACTCACAGTGTGAGTCTGGAAGTTTTCACCTCAGTTTTATGTCCTTTGAGTAAAATCAGAAACGTCTAAAAGTTCGGGATTAAGTGATATAGTATCTCCTAGCGTATTATTTTTGTTCTCCTTTTCAAGTTTTATCAGAGAGGGGCAGATAGGCGCCTGGCCGCAGCCCCTGACAGCTCACTTTCTGCCCGTCTCACTGCCCGAGCTGGCTCCCTGATATGGGCCTGCTCCTTGTCCAAAGCGCTTTACCATTTTGCTCTGGCTAATCCTTTGTTGTTCTTTCAGCTTAAAGTTTTTCAAGCCTGGCCAAGAAGCTGTGAAGTACCAGGGCCCTCGGGACTTCCAGACACTGGAGAACTGGATGTTGCAGACGCTGAACGAGCAGCCCGCTGTGAGTGCCTCTCTCCCTCCCTCCTTCCCTCCCTCCCTCTCTCCCTTCCCGCGTTCTTGGGGTACCGTGGAACTGGGCGGAGACCAGCTGAGGCAAAGAGTCAAGGCTGCCATTTTGACACGTCTTCACTTTCTTACAACTTGCCGACGTTTCCAGGCATTTTGTGAACATGCATGGGGAAATGCGTATGATAAAAAAACTGTGTGGATTTCCTTTTTTTTTTTTTTTTTTGGTACCAAAGTAAACTTGTAATTTTACAATTCCATTTGTCCACGGACTTTTCGAAGTCCCCTCCTGCCTCCTGTTTGGCTGCAGGCAGTCCTCAGGGGTGTCATTTGTAAATATGTCAGTGTCAGTCTCACAGGTAAGCACGTCCTACATGTAACATGCCCACGGTGCCCCACCCACGAGCAATGTGGTCTTACTCCTTACGTCGGAGATAGACCCTTGGTCCCGTTGAGCTAGGCCCAGGCTAGAAGATCCAGTCCAGGCCACCTTCGACCCTGCCTCTCTCCTCCCCTGGCCCTTTCCTCCCACAAGCTCTACCCTTAGTGTGGAACTTTCCTTCTCAAACCTCATGCCCCAAAGCCCCCACTGGCCTTGCTGATAGCATGATCTAATGCAATTACTACTCGAGGGGCTTAACTCCCCCCCGTGTGAAGGATAACAGGACATTGTGGCCACCTTAAGGATGTTACCAACTGAAGTTTGTAACCGCCCGCCTTCCCAGTTCACGTTGGGAGTTGTTCTAGTCCATTCTGTCACTAATAATGGAAACTACCCGAAACTGGATGACTTACAGAAGTCCAGTTTTACTCAGTTCACAGTTTGGTAGCCCAGGGGCTGATGGCTGTATCGCAACACGGCAGAGGGCAGGAGGGTGTTTATCAGGGCCCCTCTCCTTGTGAAGCCATCAGGACTCTATCATCAGGCCCCCGCCCTGAAGCCTGAGCACATCCCAAAGACCACCTTTCAGCACTGTACTCAGATTGAAGTCTCCTCGTAATCCCTTCACAGAACAACCAAGTTCCAGCACGTGGATCTCCAGCCGTAGCAGGCGTCTTCACTTGGGTATAAATCACGGTGCTCGTAAATCAGTCCTTCAGCATTTCATTGTGTGCAGTGTGTGCTGATGAACGCTGACAGCTCAGGCCACAGGAGCTCATTTGGCGGCTGATGGTTTGTGCTGTCGTGCCGGTGAGGGACTGGAAGGCGGCCAGTGATCCTTGCCATGCGTTGCTGGTGAAGTGTTAAGAGAACATCTGAAGTCAGGATGCTGGGGACATGGCAGCTAAGACAGCTGGATCCCACACGGCTCACTGGGTGTTTCAAGGCCTGGACCCCTTGGCTTGAAAATCACACTGAGTGCATGAACATGCATGCCCAAAATCCCAAAAGGAGAATGGAAGAGAAAGTATATTGCAGTGTGGTCATCCCCCCGGGGGGATGCTTTCTCACTTGTTCCCCCTCTCTCTTTCTCTCTTGTCTCTCTTCAGTGAGCACACATGCTCTCTAGCAAATTTTAAATAGAACAAAAAAGAGCATCTGAAATCTTTGAATATAGTTGCAGCAGTTAACAGACTGCTTTACTGTATCAGACAGACGTCCGCTGACGTGAAAGTGGCGTGTGGCCCTGTGGAACCTGAGCAGCCCTTCGGGAGCCCTCCCAAGTAGGGTGTCATTTTCCAGGGTGTCTGTGTGGCTCTTCAGCAGTGTCCCATATGCTCCTAGATGTCACAGCTAATTAGGAACTCCGCTGCTTCGTCAGTGCTGTACACCTCTCGTTCTGAAAACTCTGCAGTCGCATGGCGGAGAACATTGTGCATGGAGTTGGCTAGGCACAGACCAGAGACCTGGCTGACTTCAGGTGTCAGGGAAAACACAAACCTCTCAAAGTAAATCTGCATCTTTGTCATGGGAAGAAAGCTGGCTGAGCAGGTGTAACTTGCACGTAGGTTTAAACTCAGTTCTTTCCTTTGTGAAAACGTTCTCTTTGGGGAGTGGAGAATCTAGTTTGCTTCTTTGTGTGTGTTTTGTTTTTTGTTTTGTTTTGTTTTTAGATTTTTGCTATGGCATAGGTCATGTGCACTTGCTGGAGAGAGACAGAGAGAGGCAAAATGAGAAATGGCTTCCTCCTTTCCCCAGGGATAGTCATGCCACAATCCTCCTCCTTCATTCTCCTAGGATTTTGGGCACACACGCATGCACATGGACCCGGCATAATTTTCAAAACTCTGGGTCTGGGGAGTGGGGTATTAAACGGGAGGAAACAGATTCTAAAGAACAGTGAATAGCCTCAAATAAACTTTTAAAATAGACTTTTCACGGGGCTAGCAGGTGACATGGTGGTTAAGGTGCTAGACTTCCACATGGCTGACTGCAGTTTAAGTCCCTGATCCGGCAGCTTAATATGCATGCTGGATGCATGTGTATATACATCCAAAATCCTGAGAGGAGAATGGAGGAGAAGGGATTGTGGCATGGCCATCCCCCCTGTGGGGGGGGGGCGTGCTTGTCTTTGTAAAGGGTGATTTTCCTCCCTTTTTGTGAGTGATGTTTTAGAATATATTCCCAGACATAAAATGGCAAGGCCAAAAAAGACCAAAAAAAAAACAGAAGACCAGTTTTATGGTCCTTGATGAATATTGCTGGAATCCTGTCCCAGGCAGGCTGGGGCCACAGCCATCCCTGTGATGCGCGTCCCGTCCGGTGCCGTGGAACCCGCTCTAGTGCCCGCCAAGGAGCAGAGGACGTGGTAGCAGCCCTGCAGGTGCCATGCACAAACACGTCAGTACTGCAGGCCCCCAGGACGTCTTGCGAAGGGTGGCGTGATGTTCTGTTTCGTCTTACTGGAACTTCCTGGCTATCTGCTTCACCGGCGTTCTTGGCGACGTCCTCTGGTGTGGGTCCCTGAGCTCCTTGAAGATTCTGACAAGTTGACAGCCAAAAGGAAAAGGTGATGGTGCTTTGTGATCAAACTCAGGCCGGCTTTGAGCTGCCAGTGCATGTAAAGCCTGAAGTGACATAAGGTGGACGTCCTCCCCATAGGACTACGAACGCCAGATACATACCGAGTAGCGTATACCCAGGTGTAGGCGACAAGAGGGGACTCGGCCATCTCTTCTTACTTCTCAGGGCGTTGGTTGGAGGCCTCAGGATCGGAGGATCTAGAACTGTGCGCTGTCGTTATGGACTGTAGTTGGGCACATCTCCGCTTCCATATGGGCAGGAGCATCTTTCAGAAGCCACTCAGTAACCCCGTTGCGTGTTTCTGTCCTCTTCTGAAAAGTACGGGGTATGCTTCTCCCGGGATTTTCTCTTGGTTGCCTTTGAGTCTACAGAATTTTCCTTCTCTTCACCTGCTTTTCCCTCTCCTTTATCTACTTGTTTCTTCGGAGAAAAAAGGGAAAAAAAGGCACACACCCAGCGCCAAGATCCCTCCCCAGCCTCAGCCAGCCTGTGTCGTGGGGACACGTGTGCACCCAGCATGTACTGGGCTGGGACAGGAGCAGGGATGTCCACGAGTGCGTCAGCCCACACGACCACTGGGTCCTGCCTTTCTCTTTCCCCTGACCTTCCAGTTCTCCCTCCCTTTGCAGAGGACCCTGCCATTTGTGTGACTTAGGGGCATCCAGGCCCTCCTGTTGCCAAAAGGTTTCTCATTCTGTTCTCTCCATTTTCCTACCACTGTGTAGGTTCTAACCCCTCCAGGGGCAGTCCATCTGGAGTTTTATTTTGCATTCTGTGTGAAATCTCTGATTACATTTCCAAGAAGAGGGAGGGTGTGTTGGGGGGCCTGGTCCTCCAGTATGTCAGCTTGGATTGATTGGGTCTGGGGCCGCCCTGGACCCTGGGTCTTAGAGCATCTGCCGAGGATGAGGCTGGCGAGGGCCTCTCTGCAGATGCCTCCTCAGAACGTGACCACATCGGTTCCTGTCCTGGCCTCACTCTGACGGGCACCTCCAAGAGATTGGAAGCTGGTATTCTAGTGACCGAAGGACATCTGCAGAAGCGTGAAAACGAACAGGTCACTTCTTGACGGGTCTTACTACAGAGGGATTTAAATATTGGGTCATCAGAAAAGTCATGATATATTTTTCTATGTTTTTCTATGCAAAAATGCGTCGTGACTTTTCCAACAACAACCCAATAGTTTGTAGAGGATGGAATTAAAGAATGAATTGATTTGGGTTTGCTATCTGTGCCAGGCAGTGGTGTGGTGGTAATGCAGCCGAGCCCACGTGGGAGAGGCCCTGGGTTCACACTCCAGGAGGCCGAGGCTGGGGTTGGACTGAGGAGTGAAAACCCTGCTGAAGGAGACCGCCTCACTCTCCATCTCTCTCATGGAAGAAATAAATGAATACACATCACACAGAGATGTTGAAATCCATGCATGACTTTTTCGTAATGTGCACTTTCTGTGAACTTTCGAAGAGCCCCCTTGTGTGTTCACAGACAAACCCAGTGTTTGTTGTTGCATTCCCTCCTACAGACACCAGAGCCGGAAGTAGAACCGCCCAGAGCCCCCGAGCTCAAGCAGGGGCTGTACGAGCTCTCAGCGGGCAACTTCGAGCTGCACGTTGCGCAGGGTAAGGAGGCGAGTCTCCGCGTCCGCGGTGGGATAGAACCCTGCCTCGTGCAACCCCTGACTGTCCCTCCTCACCCCTCCGGCATCAGGGGTAGAGCGTGTTACTCCTGCCCTGCCCTTAGAGAAGTCCAGGTTCATGTCCAGCTAGGCCATGGCTGTGGAAATTTGGAGCCCGCAGATCACAAGCGGACTCAGTTTATGGACTGGCTGGACAGCACACCCTGGATAAGAAGGGTTTTCATTAGTGTTAATTATACCTTGTTGACTTCAGGCAAAAATAAAGCTTCTCCTACCTGTTTAGGATGTAGTGGGACCATTACATGAATCAAATTAGATATTCCTTTTTTTTTTTTTTTTGAAATTTGCCAGAGGAGCGTATGCTCACAGAGAAAGAAAGAGGGAAAAATACCCCCAGTGAGGTGTGGTCACGCCACAGTTCCCTCTTCTGCATTCCTCCGTCCTTTGGGGATTCGGGAATGTACACACGTGCCTGGCGTGGATTTCAAGCCACTGGGTCTTGAACTTGGTGATCGACCGTGTGGAATCTGGCTGCCTCAACCACCAGGCCATGGGGCTGGCCCTCAAATTCAGTCATTTTTACATTTTAAATAATACCTTTCCATATCACATCGAAGTGTTAGAACACAGTCTTATAAAAACCTAGGTGATCAAGGGACCATCTCTAATGTGAACGACACATGTCTCTTCGGGGCCAGCAGGTGGCATGGATGTTAAGGCTCTGGATCCCACAGAGCTGGCTGTGTGGTTTGAGTCCCAGACCCAGCAGCTTGAAAATCTCTCTGGGCAGGTGTGCGTGTGTGTCCAGAGTCCTGAGAGGAGAGCAGAGAAGAGATTGCAGTGTGGTCACTCCCCTTCACGGGTGATCTCTTACTTGATCTCTCTCTGTTTCTCTCTCTCTCTCTCTCTCTCTCTCTGGCAAGTGCATGTGCCCCTATAGCAAAAAACAAACTAAAGGAATAAGTAGTAGTAATAATAATAATGTGTAAGTCCTTTTCTCTTTACACATAAACGGACTTCAGAAAGTTGGCTCCACAGCAAATGACTTGGACACAATTTCAGCTTCCTTGCCAGCCCTCACTATCAAATGCTGCCATGGAGAGAAATCCCCTGAGCGGTCTGGCTTGCAATGCAGGTGTGAGAAAGGGCTCAGCCCGGCCGTGGCCTTGACTGGTGCCTGCAGAGCCAGCACCCCCCCCCATCGCCTGAAATAAGTTATGTGATGCCTCAGCCTCTGTCCGTCTTTATTGGAAGGCGTTACTTAATCCGTACCAGAGCTCCTACAGTGGAGCCTCAGTGTGTTTTCCTCTATGGGGAACTTGTCATAGGTCGAGGGTGGCCTGGCCCCCTGCAGCATGCCCAGATCCCTTGTCACAGACCAGTTCTCACGAGGCTGGGCAGTCGCCATGGCAGAACAGGGTCCTGGGGTACAGCCATGCGCGGCCCCACGGGGATCTGTGCTCAGAAAGAGGCAGCAGCTCCCTGCTCTCTCTGGTTTCCCATCAGGCCCAGGGTAAGGTTCCCCATGAACTGTGTCCACCTGACAGATAGCACATGGTTAGCCATGTATACGTGTGCACAGACGTGGTTCCAGCCTTGCTGGTGAGTTGTGAAGTTGTTTTGTTTTGTTTTGTTTTTTCCGAGAGATTTTTGCTATAGGGCTCATACACTCACTGGAGAGACCGACAGACAGAAAATGAGAAATCACCCCTGGGGGATGGCCATACCACAGTCTCTTCTCCATTCTCCTCTCTGGATTTTGGGTACACACGCACACACGCACATGTGCCCAGTGTGAGCTTTAAGCCACCAGGCCCAGGATTTGAACCATGGTTGACTACATGAGAGTCCAGAAACATAACCATATATATATATTTATTTTTTAAGAGGTTTTTGCTATAGCGCATGTGCACTCACCAGAAAGACAGAGAGAGACAGAAAGTGAGAAATCACCCCCCAGCGGGGATGGCCATGCTGCAATCCCTTCTCCTCTTTGGATCTTGGGCACACACAGACACACGCCGGTGTGAGTTTAAACCACCAGGTCTGAGACTCTAACTGCAGTTGACTACATGGGAGTTCAGCAACATAGCCATTACGCTAACTGCTGGTCCCCTGCTAAATTTTTTAAAGCATGTTTTTCAGCCTATTCCTCAAGTGCATGGTTACTGTGGCAAGAAGGCTGCAGCCGTCAGAGCCAGGTCACATCTGCTGGTTTCCTCTGTCCATGGCCACAGCCCAATTTCAGCCTGGTATCAGCCTAACAGCAAAGCAGAGAGGCCTGGAGAAAAAGCTCCAATATTGTGAGACTTGATTTGTTTTATTCTCCCTAGCCAAGGAGATGATGCTCAGTTTCTTAGACCTTTTACATGGGAACTGTAAAGTTTGTGACAAAATAGAATCTAAGTATGAGTTTATTTTGGTATAGAAAACGTTGAAATTCATGCATAGTTCATTCATAATACACATTTTCCTTGAGCTTTTTTTTAAAGAATTATTTTATTTAACTTTATGTATTATTATTTTCCAGTCTGATCAGAGAGAGAGAAAGAGAAGGAACGCGAGAAAGAAAGCCCCCAGGTCAGGGACTTGAACTGCAGTCAGCCATGTGGGAGTCTAGCATCTTTAATCACCGTGCTACCTGCCAGCCCCTCCTCGAGCTTTTTAAAGACCCTTCATATATCAGTTCATCACTTGGTACACTGATTTGTATGGTAAAAAAACAAACATTGGGCCAGCTGGTGGCATGGTGGGTAAAGTGCTGGATCCCACATAACTGACTCCGCAGTTCAAGAACCAGTGCTACAGCTTGAAAAATCACACAGGGCACTTGAGCATGCACGCCCAAAATCCCCAAAGAGAACAACGGAGAAGGGATTGCAGCATAGCTAGCCCCCTAGGGGCATGATTTCTCACTTACCCTCTCTCTGGCGAGCACATGTGCCCTACAGCAAAAAAATAAAAACTATACAAACAATAACCAAGCTTTAATCTGAACCCGGCGTGCTATACAAACTCATTTTATGGTAAGATACACTGCAGAGAAAATAAATGTAGGGCTTAATGAATTGCTGCCACGTGGCCACCCCGTAACCGCTGTCCAGCTGGAGAAGTAAAACCCCCTACTTTTCTATGCCCCATCACAGCTCTCCCTTCCACCCCCTCCCACTTCCCTGACCTTCACGGAAACCTCTTGGTAATGGTTTCCTGGCCCCACGTGCATCCCAAGCAGCCTGGCTCAGTGTGGTCTCTTTTCTGTGTGTGTCCCCACACAGCCCCCGGCACCCCCTTTTCTGTCTCCCATGCCATTTGCAGAGGTCGTAGGTTGTTGGGCCCACGGAGTCCCTCCCCACTCTGGGCCTGGCTGAGTATAACCTGGCGGGGCCTGGTACGGACAGCCAAGTCCCCTGATTGCTGGATGCCCTGTTATTGGTAGTTAGATCTAGGTACATCGTTTCAGTTTGGTGTCCTCGGGGATACAAGAAGACCCCGGAGGTGGTGGTGGCACAGCACGGTTGACTGCGAGTGTCCACACAGTAGGATGCGTCCACTCGTCAGAGCCGCCCAGGGCTCGTGTTGCTCTCTGAGCCTGCCTTTATTTTCCTACTAAGTCATTTAAGAGAGGCTTTTGCTATAGGGCGCATGCGCTTGCCGGAGAGACAGACAGATAGTGAGAAATCAGCCCCCGGGGGGATGGCCATGCCACAATCCCTTCTCCTCCATCCTCCTTTTGGGATCTTGGACATCCACACACACACGCGCCCAGTGTGTGTTTCAAGTCACTGAGTCCTGGACTCGAACCACGGGCAACCACGTCGGAGTCCAGCGATGTAACCATCACTCCATCTGTTGGCCCCTGCCTTTATTATTTTTTTTTAAAGAGAAACTGACCCTCCTTTCTCTCTTGGTTATTCAGAGGTCCAGGTCATAGGAAACGCAGGGCAAATACCTGCCTCATTCCCCGTGATGATCAGTTCTCCAAATAACAAGTTGGTTTGCTGTTGTCCTTCGGAGATGACAGATTTGGTTTTGGTCTGAGTGTCATCATGAATTCACGAATATAAAAGTATCTTTTTACTAAAGCATAAAGACCAAGCTGAGATTTGCTAAGAGGACAAGACCCGAGTATACGCCAGATCTCAACGCAGCGCTGCTCGCCCTGCCGTGGACTCAGCGCCTTTCCCCTTCTCTGCCTTGGCCCCTCTGCAGGCGACCACTTTATCAAGTTCTTCGCGCCGTGGTGTGGTCACTGCAAAGCTCTGGCTCCAACCTGGGAGCAGCTGGCTCTGGGCCTCGAACATTCCAAAACTGTCAAGATTGGCAAGGTACGTGAAAGCCCTTGTTAAACTGGAAGTGGGCCGCTCTTGGCAGGATTAATTAGCAGAGCGGCCCATTACTCATCCCGTGTGCGGCGTCGCAAGTGTGATTTATATCCATCCCGTTTAGTGTGCCACCTGATAATTCATTTCACCTTTGCAGATGGCAGCCAGGACTCGGTCTGCTGGCTTTTCCGCAGCCGAGCGATAAATTACGGCTTTGGCTGCTTGGTTTATTTTGAGGAGATGGCCAATTCTGAGTTGGCAGCCCCTGAGCCCCTTTGCAGAGATACGGGGTAGGGCCTCATAGAACGTTCACTGGGCAGACTTGGAGCCCATCCACGTTCGATCTCACCCAAGAGCTCACTCCTGAAGGTCCCTCAGCTCTGCGTTTGAGCAGGTGGGCGGGAGACCCTCCTCCTGGTGCGCCCCCATGTGCATTGCTTCGCCTGCGATTTTTCTAGCTTTTTCCACTTTACACAGGAGCTAGAAGTGAGGTCTTACAATGGCTATGTGACTGGATTTTCTGGAGATACCCAGAGCAGCTCCTGGGTCGTCAGGCTTTTTAAGATTCTTGCCGTAGGGCACATGCACTCACTGAAGCGAGACGGTGAGAGGGAAAGCGAGAAATTACCTCCCAGGGGAGATGGCCAAAGTGCCGTCCCTTCTCCTCCATTCTCGCGAGATTCTGGGCATATACACACACGCACCAGGCATGATTTTTGAACTGTGGTTGGCCATGTGGGAATCCAGCGCCTTAGCTCCCACACCATCTGCTGGCCCCATCATCAAACACTCTTCCTCTCCGGACCAGCAGTTAGCGTAATGGCTATGTCGCTGGACTCCCATGTAGTCGACCGCAGTTCGAGTCCTGGACCCTGTGGCTTAAACTCATGCCAGGCACGTGTGCGTGCATGCCCAAGATCCCGAGAGGAGAATGGAGGAGAAGGGATTGCAGTCTGGCCATACCCCATGGGGGGTGATTTCTCGCTTTCTGTCTCCGTCTCTCTCTGTCTGTCTGGCGAGCGCACACGCCCTATAGTTTTTTTTTTAAAAAAAAAAAAACTCTTCAAAAAAAAGAAAAAATAAAAACACTCTTCCTCTCATTATTCCCCGGCACCCACAGACATCCTGCATAGATTTCCCTTACTAAAAAGTTCATGTCACCTTCCACAAGGCTCTTGTGTCTACAGAAGTAACGCTCCATGTCTGGGAATGGAGTTAATCGGGCGCTCTTCAGTCAATTGGGGGTGGGGGTCAATTGGACCTGGCTGGTCAACCTCAGGTAGGACCTTGCCATGCCTCAGTTTCCCCTTGTGCAAAACCGAGTAGTGTTTGTGTGTGATAAAGAGCAAAGAACACACTCATGTGACGCTGGGCATGGAACACATGCTGAGTACATTGTAATAATCACTATTATTGCTGGGCACGGAATGGATTTTCCACTGTCGCCTGTTAAGTACTTTCAGTAATGTGTTCTAATTATAGTTGTTGGGATTACAATTCTGTGTTTATTGAACATGTCATGGAAGTAGTTATAAAATAATCCTCTTGACTTCTGCCTTACCCCACTGCTTGTGTCTTCTGTATTCTCTCGTGGGCTCATCCACGGTGGCAGGTGCTGCTAAGACGCTGCGCTCTGTGGGCTGGGACAGTGTGGGAGGCCTTAGTTTGATGCCCAGTCCACTCAAGAGCCAGGCCCAGTGTCCCAGCAACTCTGGGTGCTGAGACAGAAGGCTCGCTAGCCGGCCTGGGTAAGACCCCGTGGAAGAAAGAGCCAGGTGTGTGGCCCCCGCCTGCAGTTCTCAGCTCTCTCAGGACGGTCAGACAGGAGAATCTCAACAGAGCAAAATCCCATCTTAAAAAAATTTTTATTTGGGCTGGGACCAGCAGTTGGCGTAATGGCTATGTCTCTGGACTCCCATGTAGTCGACCATGGTTCGAATCCTGGACCTGGTAGCTTAAACGCACGCCGGGCATGTGTGCATGCGTGCCCAAGATCCCGAGAGAATGGAGGAGAAGGGCTTGCGGTGTGGCCATCCCCACTGGGTGGGGACTTCTCGCTTTCTGTCTCTGTCTCTCTCTGTCTTTCTGGCGAATGCATGCGCCCTAAAGCAAAAAACCTCTCCAAAAAAAAAAAATTATTTGGGCTAGCCATTGGCATGTGGTTTAGGAGGCTAGATCCCACCCAAGCTATGGAGTGATTTGAGTCCCAGACCCGATGGCCCACACTTGTGCGTGCGTGCCCAAAACTCCAAGAAGAGAATGGTAGAGAAAGGATTGTGGTGTGGCCCTCTCCCTGGAGGTGCTTTCTCACTTTCCCTCTCTCTCCCTCTCTGTCTCTCTCTGGCAAGCACAAGTACCCTTTGGCAAACTGAAAAAAAAAAAAAAAGAACTTTTACATAAGATTATTTACTTTGAATTTACGTCAGTAGAGGTTCCTAGCAGAGCGGACACAGGCGGCCCTTGGTCTCTGGTCTCCACTGCACCCGTAGGTCCCAGCCATAGATCTGGAATGAGGCTTCCGGTGCATCAGTTACACTGCCGTGTGACTGGAGTCCGATGTATCACAAAATTACTTTATCTTACTTCAGTGACAAAGTGAAAAACAGCATAGTCCTGCCCATGTGATTTTTTGGTTCCAAAAAAATCCCAAGGAGAATGGAGGAAAAGGGACTGGCATGGCCAGCTCCCTTGGGGGGTAATTTCTCACTTTCTGTTTCTCCATCCCGCTCTCTCTCTCTCTTTTTTCTGGCGAGTGCACCTGCCCTATAGCAAAACTCTCTCAAGAAAAAGAAAAAGAGACAGCAGTCCCAGAGAGTCTTGGCAGTGCGACCCCTCGTGGCGCAGCAGGCCGCAGGTGGAGCTGTGCCTGGCGTGCTCAGAGGTCTCCAGACGGGAACCTGGGACCTCCCCCTGTGGGTCGGCCTTGCAGAGTGTCGTGTCTTACTGCTGCTCCCGGTCTCGCCCAGAATCTGGGTCTTCGTTTGTCTGTTATTCTTAAGTTCAGAGCTGACTAGCACTTCCTCTGCCTTTGTTTTCAGGTTGATTGTACACAGCACTATGAGCTCTGCTCGGGAAACCAGGTTCGAGGCTATCCCACTCTTCTCTGGTTCCGAGATGGTAAGAAGGTATGTCTCCGTCCCTGGCCCGTGGTCCGCTTCTTCGTACTGAGGTGCAGACCTCTGTCGTAGTCACTGAGTGGCTTACCAGGTACAGCAAACCGCTAGTAACACTTGCGCGATGGGAAGAAGATAGGGGACTTCAAAAAGCTAATGGAGGGTCAGCAGGTGCCATGCTGGTTGGGGCACTAGACTCCCACATAGCTCACAGTGGGTCAAACCTGGTTTAGGAATCATGCCAGGCGCATGTGCGTGTGTACCCCAAATCCCGAGAGGACAGTGGAGAAGGGATTGTGGTGTGGCCATCCCTCCCCTCTCTGTCTCATGTGAACACACCCTATGACCAAAACCTAAAAAAAAAGTTAACAGAAAATGTATATTATGAAACACTACCTAGATTTTGCAATTTTTTGCACTAAAATAAATACATGCTATAATTCCACTTTCCACAAACTCTTTGAAGTCCTCTTATATATCTACAGAGCGTATTTCTTCCTCTTAATCAGATTTGGGGATTTGTGGACAACTGTCATTCGTACACTATTTGGAAACCTTCCAGGGGCTCAGCTTTGCTGCTAGAACAACCCAGGTCTGGTCACAGAGTCATATCTGCGCTCTGGTCATACACACAGCCCCTCCGACTTCCAGGCAGGGCCAGTGCCCGCTCTGGTCCCTGGCCCACAGTCAGCATGAAGGCCCCACTGACAGGCCTGTACCCCAGACTCGCACGGCATGGAACCCCACAGAGGGAAGGAGCTGTAAAGTTCTCCCTCTAAAGCCAAGAGGTCGGGTCTCTAAAATCTGCCTTCCCACCTGGACCTGAGTGTGTTGACACTGCAGGGCACGTGTGGCTGGCCCAGCCGACCACCCTTGGGGGCTGGGGGTTGTGACCGCGGTGGTGCGGTGGGGCCTGCCACAGCCGACACACCTGGGTGTGGGGTGGGGAGTGGTTCAGAGCATGGAGTGCTCAGGCGGAGCGCCGCCGTGTGGCCTGTGTCCCGGACAGGTGGACCAGTACAAGGGGAAGCGGGATCTGGAGTCCCTGAGAGAGTACGTGGAGTCGCAGCTGCAGAGCGCAGAGACAGGAGCCCCAGAGACGGAACCCTCGGAGACCGCTGAGCCTTCAGGAGCCCCAGAGCTGGCCACCGAGCCCGTGGCCGACAAGGTGGGTGCCCCATGACCCCTGCCCACAGAGGACATTCTCTACAGACACGTCTTCAGACAGTGGCAGTGTGGGGACAAAGCAGGGTCATCCCGGGGGTTGGTGGACAGCTGCCTTTTCAACAGGAAACTTTCTCTCATCTACTTTTACATGCTTCAAGGGGTGAGTGCAAAGAAAAGCTTCCCTCCTAAAAACCAGACGCAGATGTGAGGCAAATCCCGAGATGGTACATAGTGGCAGAAATCTCGAGAAGTCTGGGCCAGCCAGTGGGGCCGTGCTGAAGACAGCTGGCTCCCACATGGCTAACTGGGCAGTTGGAGCTCCGGACCCAGCAGCTTAAAAAGCACACTCGGGGGACCAGCAGATGGCATAATGGTTACGTCGCTGCACTCCCATGTACTTGACCGCAGTTCCAATCCCGGACCTGGCCACTTAAAACTCACGCCAGGTACATGTTCATGCATGCCTCAAATCCCGAGAGGTGACAGGAGGAGAAGGGATTGTGGCATGGCCGTCCCCCCGGCTACCTGCCCTCCACCCCGTCTCCAGGGCTGCGTGTACATGGACACGCAGGGGGACATTAGGAGATGTCCAGTGGCAGTTACATTGTTCTTTGTGTCTTTCTCTCTCTGGTGAGCATACTACCCTATAGCAAAAATCTCTCTAAAACACACACACACACACATGCATGCATCTGCCTGCCCAGGATCCCAAGACAAAGATGGAAGATGGACCGCAAGTGTGGCCATCCCCCTGGGGATGCTTGCTCACTTTCTCCTCCTTGTCCTCCCTCTCGGGCAGGCACATGCTCCCTATAGCAAATTAAGGAAAGGAAAAAAAGAGAAGGAAATCTCTAGGGAATTCCTTTTGATTCGGCAGTTCGGAGGGTGCCTGGGTGTGCTGGCTAGGACGCCTTGGCCCCAGGCCCTCGTGGCCCGTTTGTTTCTGTCACCTCCGTAACTTGCTGCAGTCGTTGCACTTGACCCCTGCTGTAAAGGCCCCCGAGAGGTCTGCAGCCGAGGGACTGCGGGCATGGAGCCGAGGCCAGCCACAGCAGGTCTCCCACTGGCCAGGAGTCGGCATCGTTCCCCCAAAGCTGGACGGTTTCGGATTCCCCCTGTGCTTTCCAAGCTTGTACGGTGCTGGTTCTGTTCTCGGCCACCAGGAAACATGAGTGAGACCGTCTGCCTGTTTGTGAAGGGCGAGGGTCTGTGAGGGAGATGCTGAGGCAGGTGACAGCAGGTGTCACCAGCTGTGGCAAGTGTGTGCAGGGCCTGTCGTGTTTGTGGGTGGAGTCAAGGCAGAGGGGAAGGGTGTTTGCTGGACACACAGGGAGGGCGAGGCTGCTGGTGGAGGGATGTGCCAGCAGGGGCACTGTGGGGGGCCACGGGCGCTGTGGGGGCCACCAGCGCTCAGGGCAGGGCTGGCTGGGCTGGAAGGAACTGGTGGAAAGCAGCAGGGGGTCCCTGAGGACTGGAGAGGGTGAGTGCTGGAGGACAAGGACGCAGGGCGCCAGCGAAGGACTTCGAACTCACCCAGTGTTCAGAGGGAGCCCGGGGAGGCCTTCAAGCAGACTCATGTTGTGGGAAGGTGACAGCAGCAGCGTCCTTGTAAAGAGACAGAAAACGCCGCATTGGGCCTGAAGCCGAGCCCCAGCCCAAAGTCGTGCCAGCAGGGAGAGAGGAAGGGAGCCAGCGTGGTAGCCCGGCTTGCCCAGCGTGGTTCCTGCATGCTGGGAGCGGGGGGAGATGGAGAGGTGACGCGCGGGTTTCTGGAGCATCGGGGGGTGACTGCGCCGACCACAGGCTGGCCACCAGGGCAGGGTGGAGCTGGTTTTCGAGGTGCGGATTTCCAGGGCTGTGTGTGCACGGGCGTGCAGGGTTAGGTTAGGATGTTAGTGATGTTCAGTGGGCAGTTGCAAACGAGGGGACCTCACAGAGCGTGCGGACAGTGGAATGGAGTTACAAGGTTACTTCGGTGTGAAAAGAATTTGAGGTCCACGTGTGAGTTTTTCATAACATGCGTCTTCCGTAATTCTTTTTTCTTTTTGCCAGAGGGCACTTGTGTGCTCTGGAGGTGGGGTGGGGGAGGGAGAGAGCATCTGCTGGAGGGAGTGGCCACACTGCAGCCGCCTCTCCTGTCCCTCTTCCCCTTTCCAGGACTTTGGCCACACACGCACACGTCTGGCGTGTGTTCCAGCTGCTGGGTCTGGGGTTTGAATTGCACAGTCGGCCATGGGGGATCCAGCCTCCTCAACTACCACGCCATGGCCCACACATTTTCTTTCTAACTGCCAGAGAGTGTGGGAGCAAGAAGACAGCCCCCAGTGGGGCGTGAGCAGGAGACAGTCCCTTTCCCTCCGTTCTTCTATCCTGCCAGGGTTTGAGGCACGCACACAAATGCACCCAGTGTGTGTTTCAACTCACTGGGGCCAAGATTTGAACTGCGCAGTTGGCCACGTGGGATCTGGTTCCCTTAACCACCAGGCCCCTCTGTGAACGTTTCGGAAACCCTCGTGTGAGTCCGGAGTGAAGGCCCGGGCGAGTGAGTCTGTGTCATCGCCTGCAGGCAGGCACCGATGGTGAAGCCACCGTGCAGATGAAATTGTTCGGGATCTCGCGGCTCGTCACCCTCAGGCCTGTTTGCCGGCATGTCTCCAAAGCAGAGTAGATACTGCGCCCTCAGTTCCCGCAGCTACGCTCGGAGTGGGCCACGTTCCTGCCTGGGACAGGGGCATCGGAGCAGAGGGAGGGGCAGCGTGCCCTGAGTCCTTGAGCTCGGGGACAGGGCTCAGTAACTGAACCCTCAGTGTTTACAGAAGAGAGCGTGATCCGGAGAGCCATCTCGCCCCACGCCCCAGTTACTTGGAAACAGAAAAGGCCGTGGAGCCTCCTGCCCCTTTCCCCCTGGATCAGGCAGTCAGGGCTCCTCACCCGCGGCCCACTCATTCACTGGGTTCTTGCAGGTTAGAGATAGCCTGAATGTAGGTTAAAAGTTGACATTTTGGGACCAGCCAGTGGTGTCACAGTTACGTTGCTGGACTCCGATGTAGTAGACTGAGTTCAAATCCCAGACCCAGTGTGTTGAAACTCACGCTGGGCATGTGTGTGTGTGTGTGTGTGTGTGTGTGTGTGCCCAAAATCCTAAGAGGAGAATGGAAGAGAGGGGATTGTGGTGTGGCCATCCCCCTTGTAGGGGGACTTTCTATCTGTCTGCCTGGTGAGCACATGTACCCTAAAACCTCTCTTAAGAAAAAAAAAGAAGTTGGCGTTTTGGTTTGAGAAGTTAACACAAGGTGGGTAGTCGTTAGGGCCACGCATGTTAGAGGAGTGGCCGTCACGGTCCCCGAGGGGACTGTAATTAGTACCGTGGATGTTTTCATCACAGAACGTTTGCATTTTAACAAGGTTTTCTGCCATCGGTGGGTCTGTCGGTGAGTGCAGCTTCATGTTCTGGACATAGAGCTGCCGTTGTTCCCAGTGTCCCCACGTGGCCGTGCTCGGCCTTGGCCTCGGAGACACAAGTTCCTCGACGCCAGGCCTGAGCAGAGCAGCCCTGCTGCTCAGGGGTCTTGCTCTCGGCAGGGAGGCGCAGGTCCGGTTTTAGAGACGCAGGCAGGTGTGATCCTGAAAGGGACCGTCAGGATGGAACCTCATTACAGCAGCCTGCCGTGTAGCCAGGCCCTTCCTATCTGTTCTCCGGCCAGAGCTCAGGGTATCGTTTTTCACATCTACCGTGGTCGTCCGTGCCGTGCCGTGTCACACACACACACACTCCGTGCTTTCCTCTGGAGAAGTGTTCATGCACACGCAGCAGGAGAGCAGTGTGGTCGGTGAGAGACGCAGCCTATGAAGGCTGCAGCAGACCAGGCAGCGGACTTTGGACTCCGTGGTCGGTATGGACCGGAACCTGGAACGTTCAGTGTGCACACCACAGTGCCCCAGAGGATGCTGGTTCCACGGCTTCCTGGAGTCTTCAGTCAGCCTTGTCCCCTGTGTGCTGGCACCTCCTGGGCTCCAGTCCCCAGGACCACGCGTCACCGCCTGCCCTTCCAAAGCCGCTCGCCTGCCCCTCTGTGTAGCTCGAGACGTGGGAGGTGTGTGGGCGTTTTCGTGTGACTTTGGAGCATGCTCAACAGCGTTTTTTAAAAATGACTTTATATTTCTGCAACGTCAAAGCATGGCCCTGGTCCACTTTAGGCAATCCATTCGAACCGTGGCTTTTCCCTCCCCTGCAGGGCGCTGTGTTGGCACTCTCCGAAAGTAACTTCGATGACACCGTGGCAGAAGGAATCACCTTCATCAAGTTCTACGCTCCGTGGTAAGTGACTGCTTTGTCCTGGTGTGGAGTCGTGTCATGTCCAGCGTTCAGCTCGTTAGCCAGCCCTCCGGCTCAGTGTTGGGCACCCGTTGTACCCCTATATTCAGATACGCTGCAGTTCAGTGGCGTCAGGTACTCACAGAGACTGGGGTTCATATATCGTAACGCTCCGTCTGCGTCGCAGAAGACGTGAAAGTGGAGCAGACGATAGGGCCTTACCAAACCTGGGCTTGTGGTACCTACTTTTCCAGGTGGATTGTCACCTGGGGCAGGTGAACAGTAAATGTGTTTTTGCTCCTCATTTTTTTCTAAACGATGTTTTTTGTTTGTTTGTTTGTTTTTTAAGAGAGATTTGTGCTATAGGGTTCACGTACTCATGGGAGATAGAGACAGAGAGTGAGAAATCACCCTCCAAGGGGGATGGCCACACCGCAGTCCCTTCTCCTCCAATCTCCTCTCGGGATTCTGGACATGCACGTACACACACCCAGTGTGAGTTTTAAGTCACCGGATCTGGGACTTAAACCACGATCGACTACATGGGAGTTCAGCTTCGTAGTCATTACACCATCCACTGGCCCCTCTAAATGTTATAAAGAAGTCAGGGGAGCTCAGCTTCCTTCTAGAACCATTAACTGTGTTACCCAGTCACCCGAACCTTCGTGCCACGTGGCCCTGGGCATCAGAGCACGAATGGGTCGCAGGTGGTTCGAGACCAAGGCAACCAATGTGGGAGGACGATAGGTCCCCGGAGCTTCGTGAACAGCTCTGTGGCCTTTCATTCCTTTGAACCTCAGTTTCCCCAGCGGTAAAATGGGAACAGTTCTTTATGTTCCTAAGTAAAACAGACAACGTGCTAAAACAGTCGGACACGGGAGTGTTCGGGAGTTCATTCAGCTCTTTAAACATGAGCACGTGAAGTCAGCATATGTCACATGTGAAGTCAACATACATCACACGTGAAGTCCGCATACATCACACGTGTGCTTCCATTTATTTGTTTCCCTCCAGGTGTTGGTGAGAAGCAGGAAAGGAAGTTAATGAGCACGTGACTCGTATGAACTGTGCTTCTCTATTCTTAAAGAATAGAAACACTAGTACATAATGCCTCTAAAATTTGTTTCTTTCTTTTTTTTTTTAATCTAAAGCTACGCAGATCAAGTCTAAAGAAGGGCAGTCACCTTTCATGGAAGGGCAGCAGTCTTGTCTAGTGGGAGAGGGTCAAAAAAGGGGTAGGAAGACGGGACCGAACCAAACTCAGACGTGGCCTCAAAGCTCACACCGAATCACCAAAGCATCATGGAAGCTTTGAAGTCATTTTGAAACTTGGAGATCCTAAACAGTTCTAAAACGTTTTTGCCATTCAGCTGATTTTTGTAAATGGCGTAGATTCTGGGACCAGCAGATAGTGTAATGGTTACGTTGCTGGACTTCCACATAGTTGACCGTGGTTCGAATCCTGGACTCGGTGGCTAAAACTCACGCTGGGCGTGTGTGCGTGCATGCCTAAAATCCTAAGAGGAGACTGGAGAAGGGATTGCAGCATGGCCATCTCCCCTTGGGGGGGTTGATTTCTTGGTTTCTGTCTCTCTTCAGTGAGTGCATATGCCCTATAGCAAAAATCTCTCTCTTAAAAAAAAAAAAAGAGTGGATTCTGTTTTGGTTCTGCTTTGTCTCCTCCTGCTCATGGCACATCTGGTAACCAGCTGGCTCAGTTTACTCTGCCATGGAAATGGTCTCAAAATCTGCACCGACCTCCTGTCCGGTTACCTGAAAGTCTGCTTTGGCTTGACCTTGGCTTTCTCGTTTGGGATAAGGGGAAGAGGGAGAAGTTAGCGTGCACCCAGTGGGAGAATTTGCCAGGTCACAAGCTTCCGGGCAGTCGTGGGCGTCTCGTGCAGATGCAGAGTCCAGGGGCATGACCTTGACTCAGAGCACCGACAGACCTCGTGCTGTGTTCCTAGGTGTGGCCACTGTAAGAACCTGGCTCCTACATGGGAGGAACTTTCTAAAAAGGAGTTCCCTGGCTTGGCGGGGGTCAAGATCGCCGAAGTGGACTGCACAGCTGAGCGGAACATCTGCAGCAAGTACTCGGTAGGTGCTCTCCCACGGGGCACGGGTGGGGACGTGGAGTGTGGGAGCAGGTCCCAGTGGAGCTGCAGTTCGGTATCAGGGACTCAACCGAGATAACTCCCTCTGCCCGCATCCTTTCAACAAAGTGTATTGCATCCTTCTGAGTCATTTCATTTTGAGAAGCAAGAGAGAGACTCAAAAAAGAAAAAAGATCCCCTTTTCTACCCACTTTTATTCATCGGTATACACACTTCAGCAGGGGATTTTAGGCCTGGCTCTCCCCACGTGGGGCTGAGCAGTAGCTGGGCCCGAGGCGTTCAGAGTACGGTGCGGCCGCGTGGCCATTCTTGACTGACCAGCAGCTGGCTGTGGCCTTCGTTGTAGAGACCCAAGAGGCTCTTTTGTTAGACAAAGGCCAGCATTCTCAAGGCTGAGTAAAACGAACATGTGAACATAAACTCCCTTCTGAAAAGGACCAGGCCAGCAAGCTAGTCTTGTGCTTGGGTGGTTTAACTGTGACCTTTCATCCCAGCTGTTAGCTCAATCTAATGGCCTAGAAGATTTGCAATTTACATTTTTTCTTATCTTCCAAGTTTTAAGTTTATTTCTCCACGAATGAGAGATAGGTACTTCTACGGGGTCTTCACACCCGGATCCATGTCAGCTAGCGCACATGACCGACACCTGTGCACCTGGTATGTTCAGGGAGGGCCCAGGACATGGCCTGGGGACCTTCCCATGTGAGTCCAGTTGCATTACCCCTGTGCCACCATCCAGCCCACCCGTTTATGTGTGTGTTTTGTTTTTCCCTTTTTTTCTTTAGTTTTTGCCAGAGGGGTGCATGTGCTCACTGGAAAGACAGGGGGCAAAGGAGAAATCAGCCCCTAGAGGCCACAGTCACACCGCAGTCCCTCCTTCTCCATTCCCCTCTTGGGGTTCTGGGCGCATATGCCCACATGCCCAGTGTTTCCCAACCCACCGTGTCTGGGAATCACACTGCAGTTGGCCACATGGCCTTAGGCTCCACGATGCCACCAGCTGGCTTGTGTCATTTTCTTAGAACTCTTTGGGAGCCTCTGAGAGTTTACGACCTTACCATCAGAGTCTAGGAATAGACGCACCACAGACACAATTTCTCCTCATTCGATGCCAGTCGTATTTTGTGCCTTAAAATTCTTCCAAGAGAAGAGTTGCAGCTGAGGAAGGTATAGCCTCGAGGCTCTGGATCTTACAGCACCAGCCACGGAGTGGTGCAGCACCCCCGGGAGCTTGTCGGAAACACAGGACCCCAGACCCCTGCCCAGGCCTGCTGGACCCTGTCTGCATTCTCCCCAGAAAGTAGAGGCTCAAAGCTCCCTATCCACTTTTCAATCCCAAGTGAAAGTATCCAAGGAATGATTGCAGGCTGAAGTAGAGGCTTTTGATAGGGAAGGGTTCGAAGTTATTTCTTTGATGCTATCTTTTATTTGGGTTGAAAAATGAATAGAGAGCCCCAAGGCTTTACTTTTCAAACCATCTGGTTCTTTTGTGACGGTTTACACATCTTTAAAAAATTGGCCACGGAGAGTGGCTGGGGTGGCACAGTGGTGATGCAGTATTCCATGATGTTGGGCCCACTGGGAAGGTCCTGGGATTGCTCCTGAGGGCTCCCTGTACACGCCAGGTGTGCGCATGCCCATGCCCGTGATCCAGGCTGGCCGAGGCGGGGGACGGATTGTTACCTGAAGACCCTGTTGGGGGCGCCTCTCAAAAGGAAAACGAAATCAGCCACAGAACTTCCCAGCCACAGCCAGAGCTTGCCTAGTTTTACCGAGGCGGTTTTCGCGTGCAGTCCTGAGCCCTGGTTTTCAAACCTTTCCTTTCCCCCCTAAGGTACGAGGCTATCCCACGTTGCTGCTTTTCCGCGGAGGGAAGAAAGTCAGTGAGCACAGCGGAGGCAGAGACCTGGAGTCCCTCCACCACTTCGTCCTGCGCCAGGCGAAAGATGAACTATAGACACCCAGCAGGAAGTGGTCTCCACCGGGCCACCTCCACCCAGCCTACAGGACTGAAATCGTGAGGGCGTGGCTGCACCTCGAAGGGTTATTCAGAGAGCTGAATGTGCTGAACTCGTGGTAGCTTCCTCGCGTGCGCTCGTGTGTGTGTGTGTGTGTGTGTGTGTGTGTGTGTGTGTGTGTGCAGCCCACACACCCTACGGATTCCTTATTAAGTCTCTCTAAGTAAACGTGTAGGCTCATGGTCACTGTGCAAACTCAGTATTTTCAGTGCCGATACGTCCCCTTTAACCTTCTCTTGATGAAATCTAAATGGTTTCCTTTGAGACTAAAATAGCATCAAGGAAAATCAAATTGCGGGACTATTTTTGGCTCCCGAGTGATTTTGGGGAAGCCTCATCCAAAGTCTAGTTGTTTAACTGCCCACACGTTCTGGAAAGGAGACCTTGGCGGGACCGACGCTCCTCTGCTCTGAAGGTCACGACCGGCTGCTCCTTAACGGTGTCGGTCCGTAGTTTGCAGCAGACTGGAAAACGAAACCCCACGCTCTCGAAGACACCTTCACAGCCACTCCTGGACGTGGTTTCTGTTACTCCTTTTCTCATCGTCCGAAGCCGGCCGTAAGGAGAGCAGCGGTACCTCTCACGTGCCTGCGTTAGCACATGCTGTCGCCACAGTCGTACGTGTGCGTGGACCCTTGTCAAATCGGTGACCGTTCAAGGCAGCCTCCGTTGGTCTCTCAGGGGTGCACGATGACTTTGGTTCATTATGTTCACCCGCAGCCAGGGTCCATGCGAACAGCTGGGGTTGAATGTCTTCTGTAGAAAGCGTGGGCGCAAATGTTCCACCAGGCTCATTCGGACTGTGGGTCGATTTGTAGAAAGATTCTGTTTTCCACCTGCAACTGCAGGACGCAGAGGGCGTTCCTAGGCCTGGGTTTCCAAGAGAGACCTGCAGCCCCTCTGCGCGATAGGGCCCAAACCGGGCAGTTTTGGTCCTGCTCCTAAGCAGTCCTTTCAGAGGCTGCTGCACTGCGTCCCCTACCTTGCAGGAGGTTGCCCTGCTGACGTGTGAAAAGTGGGATTCGTTTGACCTCGAGACCAAAGACCGAAGGCAGGGCTGTTCTGCCCAGCGTGCACGGCTCTTGATGCCAGCATCCTTCAACGCCCACCGCCCTCATTATTACGCATTGGGACAGTCACCCTGGAAGTGAGCAGCTGGGGCCCAACTGCAGGTGTGTATCTGTCCCTCATCACCCAGTTACTCCTCCTAGTGACCACTCTGTGTCCAGCACCCTCCACCTGCCCCATGCACAGGGTGACATGGACACTGGGCCCAGAGGAATCTCAGAATCAAAACCCCTCGTACAGTCTGAGGAGCAGGTAACAGAGCAGCGTCTCAGCCTCTGCCTTAAAGGAAATCTTTATTCAATCAAGTGTGGTTCACAGACGTTCTTTTAAAAAAAAAAAAACCAACTTTCTAGAGAAGCACAACCGTCACGCGTGGCTTCGGCTTTGCATCATCAGTCTTGTATTAAAAGAAAAAAATCAAAGTGGTACAATTTGTTTACACTATGATACTTTCTAAATAAACTCTTTTTAAAAAAAAAAAAAAAATCTGGTCCGTCCTTAACTGTTAACCAGCGAAATATTATAAAATAGACAATAAATTATAGTTTGTATTTACAACAAAAAAAGCTGGAAGTGCAAACAGTTATAGATTATAAACGTATTATTTAATCAGTTTAGTATGAGATTGGTTTCCCAGTATATGATCGTGAAAAAGACATCTTAAAAAACATTCTAAGATTTAATCTGAGCCTTTCTACAAGAGAAGATTGTGATTTCGGTTCACAAACAGCACGCTCACCCCGCTCTCCCTGCCCCGACCCGTTGTTGAAGGCTGGGTGTCCCCTCCCTGACTCTGTTTCTTTTGTTGTAATCCTGCGACACGGTATACCGCATAGGAAAAGGCAATCAACTGTTAGAGTGAAATGGATGAGACGGTAGAGCCGG